CAAACAATTTTGAGCAATCATGTAGACATCGTAAAACCCTTTTCTCTTATTCGAGATCCAAAAACAACGCTTCGGTTTGAAAGGAGTACAAATACAAATTTATAGAGTGCAAAACCTTGTATTTTGTATTGTTTTGTATGTTTGCACTCTATATATTCGTATTTGTACTCCTAAGTTGGAAAGAGTACAAATGCAAATACATACAAAATAATACAAAACATAAGGTTTTACGCTCTACATATTTGCACTTGTACTCCTTCCAAGCTGATCCTTATGTTCAATTTGGACGGAGTATAAATAAAAATATGCATAATGCAAATACATATAAAATATAAGGTTTTGCACTCTACATATTTATATTTGTACTCTTTCCAAACTGAGCCTTGGTTTTTATGGTTCTACTAATCATCGAAAACCCATTTTTATTATATCTACTATTGTACATATGCTTGTCCTTTTTAAAGATTTATCAACCTGTAATGTCAAATTTCAATAGGTTTTTGGGTAAGCATTCCGGTGATATTTGTTGGGTTTTCTTCGAATTTGTGAAGAATTCATGGATTAGGATTCCAAGAACAAATATTTCCACTATTGAGGGAACATAGTATTGTGCCAACGATGTTTTTAATTAACGTGGTTTTGAGGTTGCTCAGTTTGGGTTCAATGACTGACTTTTGGTGAGCTACTAAAGAGATGAAGTACTTGGGTGTTACTAGAGATATTTATACTTGTGGTATTGTGGTTGCTATAAAGTACAAACTACAAAGCAGGTTTGTATGATAAAAGTGTTGGATTTTGTAGGGAAGATGTGGAATTCTGGAAATAATTTTATAAAAGTGTTTTGTTGAAATTACCTAATATTCTTATATAATATAGATTATTTAATAGTGACATATGGGTCCATGTGTAGTGCCACACGTGTGACACATGGGCCCACGTGTGTCATGAGGGGTAGAGTTGTCATCTCCATTGAAATTATTTAATATAATATTTATAAAATGACATTTATATGGAATTGTTAAGTTGGGGCTAAAATTATTATTTCCACAAAAAAGTACATATTGGTTAAGTGGCTCACCAAATAGTATATCTCAAATAAGTACTTAAATAAATGTAAATAGTTTTGAGAAAGAACCCCCAAACACCAATAAGTTATTTGTTCAAATAAGTATTTAAATAACTATTTCTCAAACTATATTTACATTTATTGGTGGTTTAGCGAATAAGTAGTTTGAGAACATTTATAAGAAGTACTTCATTTAAGAGCTGGGACCACACATTAAGTGGTTTAGTGTGCTTGGTAAAAAAGTGGGGAAGAAGTATTTTTTTTAAGTATTTATTTAAAAAAGTGACTTTAAGTTGGTTTTTTTTCAGCACTTCTTGAATAAGTACTTTGCCACTAAAAAAGGGACAAACCAGTCCCTAATATTTTATTGTAATACCTAAAATACCCTCACACGAGGGTTATATCTCAAAACATCTTTACTAGGTAGCAGTGCACCTAGTTACAGGTCCATTGGGAAATACATGAGCTTAGTGAACCCGTTCATTCTCCTCCTAGCTCTAGATGCTGGTGAAATTTCGAAGCAAAAGCAATCACACAGGAGGTGGGAGAGAGCATTACCTGATGAGAATGTGGCCTGAAAACGATATATGACAGAGGAAGTTGTAGTCTACTGTGATCTTGAACTTCAAGCGGCCAACAACCAGAACAGGGGAGATTTCCACAATTTGCAATGGGTTAGAAGTAAAAGTCAGTGGCCAAATGCTAGTTCTGACGACTGATTTATAGTGGAATCTCGAACTGCTGCGGCTGCTATCGTTCAATGGTGTTGAGGAAATAACTGAGTGATGTTTTGGCTTGTTGTCTGATGTCGTGAACAAAAAATTTAGATGGGCTTGAGATGTTCAACACATATGAGTCAGAGACTATGATGAGTCATGGTGGATGATTGAACTGATTTCCACATTCCGTGCGCGGAGACACAATGAAGTTTCTTTGACTGGTTTGAGAGAGTTTGTAGAAATAGGGGAAGCTTCAGCTGGTGCTAGAACAATGGGATGCTCAAAGAAATCCCCAAAAGAAAAAGAGAAGAGAGATGACATTGTATATGTCGAAGATGGTCAAAGGTGCATAGTTCCACCGTTGGGCGTTTACCTTCTTTCGCAAAGTCGGAAATAACAGAGCTATGTGGGGGGAGGGAATGGTAGGAAGGAGAGGAGAAAAATGACAGGGGTGAGAGAACGACGAGGATAAAGGGGGAAACTGACTGTATAGATCTGATTTGTTGTCGCTGCTTGCTCTGTTCGACGGAAAATAGGGGATGAACAAATTCCTTAGATTGCCGAACTGGAGCTAGATCGACGGCAACACAGGGTATGGAGTATTAGGATAGTCGGAGTGTGGATGAGAGAATCATATAAGAGATTACCGAGGGGAGAAGCTAAAATTGTTGCTGCCACTCTGTGAAGAATATGAATTGTGTTTTATTATTATTATTATTATTTGTTATGATTTATTACTATTATTATTATTATTAATTGGGTCCACATGGCGATTCACGTGTGGGTCTAAGTGGACTCTCAGTTAAAATGTATAGCATAATATGTGAAAAGCATTGTATATATGAGTGAAGTGATGGCTAAATTTGTCATTTGTGTCAATATAAGCACTTATGGGGATAGTAACTTACCAAACTTCCCCACCCCAATAAGTGATTAAAAACATAATAAGTGATTTGGAAAGTGGGTTACCAAATAGTCTTAAGTGGTTGTTAAAATAAGTACCGTGCAACAAGTACTTCTTTTAACAACCACTTAATCATCAAATAGGGCATGAGAAATAATTACTTAAGTACTTATTTGAACAAATACTTATTGGTGTTTGGGGGGTTTTTTCCCAAACTATTTACATTTATTTTATTTCTCAAACCACTTATTTGTGTTTGGGGGTATTTATTGGTAATTATTTATTATATTTAGTAATTATTTCTCAATACGCTTATTACCAAATACCAATATTTATTGTATTTTTAGTAATTATTTTTTACATTTTTGATAAATATATTTTAATAATTGTATAAATCTATTTTTGTTTTTTCATTTAAAAAAATTGTCAATAATTTTTGGAGATTAAACTATTGCTATTTAACTTTTCAAATTTAATTTAATGTATTTTTGTCATAAATTTATTTTTAGCATTTATGTGTTTTTTATTATTTATTGATTAATATTTATTAGAGATTGAACTATTGTTTGAGATTACACTATTTATTGTATTTTCACTATAAATTTATTTTCAATAACTATGCATTTTTTCTATAAATTTTTAATAATTACTAGAGATTAAATTATTGCTGTTTATTGGAGAATAGACTATTAATTTAGNTTCAATAACTATGCATTTTTTCTATAAATTTTTAATAATTACTAGAGATTAAATTATTGCTGTTTATTGGAGAATAGACTATTAATTTAGTGAAAAATCGACCAACTTGGGTTGTATCGATTTGGGTTGATTTTTTGTCTAATTGGTTGGTAGGGCTGTTCATAAGAAGGCCCAACCCGACCAAACCAACCAACCCGGACCGATCCAACCTGAGTCGGCCGGGTTTTCATCAGCATCGGTTGGTTTTGGGTTGGACAAATTTATAAACCGAAATATCGGGTCGGTTTCGGTTTTCTTGTGTAAAAACCGAAACCGACCCGAAACCGAATTGAACTAGTCTTCCTACTTAACTAGTCTTCTAATATAACTATAATAACTCTATCTTCTAGTTCCTATTTAACTAAATTGTATTTATCCTAGTTTCTATAGTCTTTTACACCAAACAGGCAACCCATTAGTCAATTACAATTAGAATTAGGTGTCATCTTTTACCTCCTATATTAGAATTTAGAAGGTTTCTTTAAATATAAATGTTTCGGCCTTCTTTCTATAAAACAAATTGACTTTCTATTTTATTGTCTTATTGAATATTGATAACTTTTGTCTTCTATAAAATAATTTTGTCTTTTGTCTTATTGAATACAAAAGTTTTTTGAATAGAACAGGGGTTACTAAGGTTGACACTGGACCAAAGGTGAGACAAGTTTCAGAAATAAGGTTTGACTATAGGAGCAAAACCGAAACCGATCCAACCCGATTCAAACCGACTAGGTCGGTTTTGCCTATCAGTGGGTCGGTTTCGGTTTCCACCTCAGATAACCCGACCAGGTCGGGTCGGTTGGGAAAACCCCACTAAACCAACCCAACCCGACCCGTGTACAGCCCTATTGGTTGGTTCAAAAGATTTAAACTTCAAAAACTATAGTGGCATTATTTAAAAAATAAATTTACGATATAAAATATTTTAGACTAAGAAATATGAGAAATTTTCGACTTTCATGTGTTAAAAAAATATATTTAGAATATAAAATATTAGTATATATCTATGATTGGGTCGGTTTACAAAGGGCCAAACCAAAACTAACCCAACCTAATTGGGTAGAAAAAATTGTTGAATCAAAACTAATTGAAAATACTAGAAAAACAACCAATTCGAGTTGAATTAGGTCATGTTGATCGATTTCATTGGTTCAATAATCAACCTTAGTTGAAATTAGTTATTGTTATTTTTGTATTGTAAAAAATTATATATAAGATATAAATAATTATTAATTATTTTAAAAAAGTTAAGATATAAAATAATTATATATCATTGTGTATTTTTATTGTTTAGCTTTTGCTTCGCACGAATTCCCGCTCGTACCTTGACTTTTTTTTTTAAAGTAAAGTTCTCATGTGACATGCTCATTTTTACCGTGGGTCGCAGATGACATCCAGTCATATAACAAATCCGTGCGCTCGGTGAAAGCAGCTGACCAAAGCTACAGTCATCGGAAATGGGTCCATGATCCATGGACCAACCCATTTGTCCATATCGGCTCTAGACTTTTACGGGAAGCTCGCTGAACGAGCCGACTAGCAAACTGCTCCTTATATACAGGTACGGGTATTCTCGTCGAAGGTATTCCTGTTCCACAAGGGAAGGCGCCGATGGATATCGAGCAAAAGCAAGCAGAACTGATCGAGCACTTCGTCAAGCAGGCCAAAAGCCAAAAGGGATCGGCGCTTGCAAATGTAATAATCGAAGCAACGTCGCATTCATCTCTTTTTGCGTTTTCGGAGATTCTAGCAGTTCCTAACGTCGCTGAGGTTAGGATGCCTTCCTTGGTCATCTCGCTTATCTTCTTTTAGGGATGCATGTATTATTTATTTATTTTTCCCGAGATGGAGACCGAGTTGGGTATGCATTTCTTTGTTAAATTCATCATTTCTGGCGTTATATTTACAGGTAGTGTTATACTGTTATTGCTCATAGATGTTTGCTCAGAGTTTTATTTATTTTTGATCAATTTTGCTCAGAGTTTTCCTGTCATTGTTTTTTTAAGAGAAATTCTGATTTTGTGGGCTGTGGTTTGATTGAATGTTCATTTTATTGGGTTTATTGATTAGAAATTTATGTATATTAGGGTCTTTTTGTCTGGCTTAAAGAGCACTTCACTCACAGAGTTGCAGTTTGCATTGGTTGGCTATTTATCTATCTAGTGATTTTAGTGCGCTGAATTGTGATATTATAAAACAGAGAAATAACCAGAAACGAACAAAACGCACAATACACACTAATTTACGTGCTTTGGTAGGATGCCTTTGTCCATGGGCAAAGACGATCAGAAAATTTCACTATTTTAAAAGGGGATTACAATGAGACGAAACATAACAAGAACTCCAAAAAAGAAACTTTCTTCCCAAGAACAATGCTTTATTACCAAGAGAAACACACATGTAGTACATACTCCCAGTGGAAGGACAAAAGTCTCTGACCAAAAGTACGCCAGAAGCATATATTTATGAATCAAAGACACAAAACTTGTCTCCGAAAAACCAGGAGAAAAATAAACCTAATTTTGGCAATCATAAGTGAAACTGATGCACACCTCTCACTGAACCTTTCTTAATTTCTTAATATCCAAGGAATACACCACTGATAAAAAAAAAAAATCCAAGGAACACACAAAGAACTTCTGGTGCCAAAAAACATAAAGAAATAAAGGAATTGGAGGTGATTTCCTTACTCATTTGAATGCGTATGTTGGTGTGGCTTGGAATTCAAGCTACCACCCAACAGCATTTGAATGGACAACATCTAAAATGAAATAGCATATACCTTTCGTTAATCCGGAATTTCCTATTTAATATATTCGATTAACAACTGGAAATGTCTTCATCTTACATGGTGTTTCTGCAATGGAGAACTAGCTGATCAAATTGGGGGTGGGGGGAAGGTGGCAATGGGATCATCCATTCTGAATAACTCCCATGGTCACAACTTAAACATTCCCTATACAGATAAGGTACTTAGACATTAATTAATGTCTTTATTGTTAACTAGCATACATGCTTGAAGCAACTTTCCATCAAAAGACAAGAAAACAATCTACATTGTCCTGCCAATTCTACAACTTTTCTATCTATGCTATCTGTCTTTTTTTCCTTTTGTTTTTTATTTTTTCCATAGCTCTTTGCTTTTAATTCAAGTGGTGTAAGGTGGTGCTAGCTAAGGTGGTCAGAAATTCTAAAAATTGGGAAAAGCTGACAAGTGTTTAAGGTTCCTCTCAGATCTGCTGATCTGGATGTTGGTGAGTGGTAGAGTAGTGAAAAACACTGAATGCAGGTGAGGGAGAAAGCTGGAGTTCCCTCGGTAATGGAGAAATCTCCTGAAAATGGATCTGGTGTGGAATATCCTAGGTTAGAGTTCCATGGCTGATACTCTCTCTTTTCTGATGTCTGGATCTGGGAACTGCTGGTCTAATAACTGATGATCTGTTATGGGTATGTGAGTGGGTATTTATAGCCATTTTTGGACTTGACCCTTTTTAATCTGATTGTCTTTTATCGGGGATCATGAAGAAGGTATTCGTTATAAAAATATCTTTCTGAGATGATTAGTTAGTTGTGCTACATTGGATTTATTTATTGCAGATAATATTACACGAGGACTAGTACACAGTTACACACCTTTCCCAGCCGCATGCATGTGTCTTATACTTGTTTCCTTTTCTGCTGTTGTTAACACCGTACTTTCATATGGTTATGATATTTGAGATGCCACTTTCCCATATTTCTGATAGCTAACTGTGACCTTGTGCATGTCTATGCTCTTACAAGTAGTTATTAACTTGTTACTAATTTACATTTTTCTAGATGCTGTGTATGATTTTTTCTTCTATACACAGATCAATTAATTTCCTTCAGTTTAGATATTATTTATTTGATGTTTTTGACTTGTTCTTACTGTTAACTTGTATGCAGCTTCAAGGGTCTGAGTATTCTGTATTTCTTGACATACTTCGATTGTTTGCTCATGGCACATGGAGTGATTACAAGAGTATGTCCTATGGACCTTTAACTTGTGTTGGATCTATCTTTTTTTTTGACATTGACCATTTCGTTAAAATGTTATTTAATTCTTTCCATCACTAGATAGACAGATTTGAAAATTTTTACTTCCTTGATGTTTGAACAAGAACAATTAAAGCCGATAAATGTTGTTCTTGGGTTAGCATGGCTAATTGTGGTAGTAAGTCATAGATCTGTGGGGGCATAAGGGCACAAGTCCCCAAACCCCAACATGCTCTAGCCAGAGATTTATTTTGTGAGCCCAGTAGCTTCAATTTCTTTATTCAGTGTGCCATGTTTTACATGCCTACTGTTCTTTTAGTACATGATGGGAATGTAAGGTGGGTCAAATCTTGAAATTACATTATAACCGATATTGCGAATCTATTAAAAGAAGCACTGATGTTTCAAGCTGCATGACTGACATATTACATATGTAATAATTCCAGGTTACTTCTGTTAGTGTCGACTGTATAGGGGTATTTTAGTCTTTCTATTTATGTTTAAAGCTGATGTGTAATGTTTATGTTAAGTGATGTGTCCCATACTTAAGTAGGGACATAATAGTCTTTTGTTTATTGGATATAAACATATAAATATAACCTGGGTGACTAGAGAGAAGATTTATGCTCTCTAGTTCGAACCAGAGTTCTCTTCTTCTCTATTCTCTCTTCTTCTTCTTCTTCTTCTTCTATTCTCTCTAGTATTTCTTCTAATTACCTCTTTAACACTAATACTAACAGAATTCTAGTGCAGATCAGAATCATATCAACTTCGAAACTTTCAATTGCTAAGTTGTAGTGTGGAAGAACAGGAGAAGTGATTCACATTTATTACTGGCAGGATGGAGGGATTTGGTGTGGAACATTCTGATATATTGTCTAATTTTCTTTTGTTCCCAAGAAGCACCTAATGATAAAAGTGGTAGCAGGACGTTTCTCCATCAGATCATGCTACAGCCTGTTAACAAGCTCCAGTTCACCCTCAGTGGGCTGGGCATGGATCTGGACCATTGCTTCTACCAAAGTTAAATTCTTCATCCGGTCCATAGAGGAATTGTGGTGGATGATCTGTACAGTCTTTGTGCCGGCCTGGGGAGTCCACCAACCACTTACTCATTCAATGCTCTTTTGTTGCCTGATTGTGGTCCCACTTCTTGGTACTGTTCGAGCACAATGGGTGCTGTGCATTGATCTGAGTGGGCTGCTCTCTGCTTGGCAGACTGTGGGTTTCAGTCAAAAGGGTCACATTCTATGGAATACTTTTCAACTTGCCATTTGCCATTTGCTGGGTTGTGTGGAAGGAATGCAGCAGTAGAGTTTTTGAATGTAAAGCCTCCTAGGTTGAGAGGGTGATCCAAAAGGTCGAATATGCTTTACTCTCTTAGGATAGAGTATCTCAGCAGTATTTTTTTTTTTTTTTTTGAGAAAAGCTAATTTTGAAATTTCATTAATGGGAAGTCAGTACATGAGAAGATATACAAAGGAGAAAATAGAAGCAGACTTCAGTTACAAGTGTAAAACATTATCACTATACAGATTTTCTCTGTTTATCCCGAATTTTGCTAGACTATCTGCTAAAGTGTTCAACTCTCCAGGGATCCATGCAAGATTTGCATCCATGAGACCTAACAAATCTCTATCCTCCGTCAAGTAATGAGCCAACCTCTAAGGACCGCCATCTCTCCCCTAACCATTTGATTGTGTTAGCAGAGTCACCTACAATGGTTATGCTCACGTAACCCAAACCAATAGCAATTTGAATCCCAGTAAGAGCTACCAACACCACAGCCTTTGTAGAGTTGGCAATCCTGATAGGGCCACTGTAAGCCCAACAAATGTTTCCATCTTTCCCCCTAATTACACATTTACACCATTAATACCAACATTGCCCAGGTTCCCTAACGTACTGCCCTCAAAAATCCCCTGCCGAAGAAAGGAAGGGTCCTTGGGAACAGACAAGGATCTACAGGAGTGTAAGAAGTCGTTAACATTTCTCTGCAGGTCACTTTCAGAGGTTCCTTTGAACATCTCCGAGTTGACAGCCCACATGTTGCAAAGATGGGGTGATGTGAGAAATTAGGTATTTAGTCACTATGGCCTTGTTATGAAAAATTCAACTTTTTCTTTCCTACCAAACACCTCAAGATGTTGCATGAACAACTATAGCCTGATAAGGTTTTCTTCTCTTGCTGAAACTTCTACTTTGCCACTGCTGGAGAAGGTCCAAGACACATTGTGGAGCAACCTGACCAGCTCCAATGAGGTTTAGAAATTGGTACCAAAATTTCCTTGTTTCTTGACAGTGGAACAAGAGGTGTTCAGCAGATTCTTCTTTTGACTGAGATCATATATATTTATTCTCTTTAGGCAAGCTTCCTAAATGAAGAAGCAAACTCTAGGTGGAATGTGAGAGTACCAAATCTTCTTTGAGGGGAAGTTAGTACTAATCTCTTTAGTTGTTAGACCCATGAAGTAGGACTTAGTTGAGAACTTGTTGACAGGGTGAATGCTCCAAATGTGTTGGTCAAGGGCCAAAGGGGAAATGCAGACCTCCCTTAAGGTTTGAAGGAGATCAGTGATTTCACCAAACTCTACATCCCTTAAGGTCTTCTATGGTTCAGGTTCCAACTAAATCCATGAGAGGGAAGAGAGAGGCAAGTTGAGATGGCTGCTTCTTGGTTGAGGCAAAGCTGCAATGGTTGAAGATCTGAGGAAAAAGGAAGCAGCCAAGGTGGACTCCCCACACCAAGGTCATTCCAAAACTGTATTTTATTCCCGCTCTCCACTTTATATCTAATGAATGGAATAAACTTATTATAGGTGGAGACACAATACCTTTCTAAGGGTTGGATGCTTTCACCCAGTTTAATTGAATCTTGCTATAACTGTTTGCACCCTTCCTATATTTGCTGGCAATGATTGCAGTCCAAACAACATAAATTTCAAGAGGGAATCTCCACAACCATCTACCAAGAAGAGCAATGTTCCTTTCTTTGATGCGATCAATGCCTAACTCTCCCACCTTATTGGGCTTACCCTGCTCACCAAATGGCTCCGATTCCTCTGAAATTGGCTGGATGAACACAAGGAAGGGCTTTGTTTTCTCTGAAATTTCAATAGAGAAGCTTGAAATCTATCTTCCACATTGAACATCTTGTTCAAGTGAACTCTTAGATTGGCAAACATACTGGTAGGCATGTAAGGAATAGTAGACAGGCCAGATTTATTTTGGGAGCATCAGGCCCAGGGCTACTTTGTAAGGGATCTCTCTGTATTAGTTTGACAAAGAAATGTCAGCTCACTGAGGCACTGCTGCTACGTTAGTCCCCTTCAGTCCTACCTATTGGATTTTGGGGCTCTCCTTTGTGCTTGCAACATAACACTGAAGATACCTTATAAATTCTGTTTAGAGGGGCATTTGGGAGGAAAGAAATGCTTGAATGTTCTGGAATAGGGACAGACCTACTAGATGGTGGTGCAAGTTGATATCCATCAGGGCAATTGTGGTTGCCTCCTTGAAAGTACTCTGTTAAATTTAACTTTGATGGATGTTCTTTGAACAACTTTGGACCTTTAGAATTGGCAGGTGTTCAGGTATAACAATGCTTATTTTATCTTGGTATACTTGAGGTTGAGATTAGTAGGATCAGGTGACTCAATGAGTCTTGAGCTCGTGTCACTTATCTAAGGATTCAGATAGGTGTTCTCCATGCATTTCTAACTTGTATTTGACAGAGGTTTTCATATAGTAATTAACTGGATTACTGGGTAAGGAATAGATCAGATGACCTTTGCAGACTAGGCCATTGGATATTCGGATTAGAGAGGAAAGGTCATCGAGTTCCAGGTTATAAACTGTTTTCCACTTGGGTGCATAGGTTTGGTAATTCATTAGTTGATTTGTTTGCTAGAATTGGAGTTTAGAAACAATCTGCTTGGTGGAACTTTAATGCCAGGATGGATCTACTTCTATGTGTTTATTGTCCAGGGCAGCCCTCAATTTGGGTTTGGGCTATAGACTATAGCCTGGTACTTGATTTACACTCATAATCTTTTAATCAGTATTTTAAAAGGTGTGGGAGGCGTATGCCTAGAGGCTGCCTCCAGGCAAGGTGCCCCCAAAACACCTTGAGGTGTATGGCAGAGGCATTGATGCCTTAGAGGTGTACGCCTCAGGTGCGTAACTGTGTATGCCTCATACGCCTTTTGCATGAGGCATGCTAGAGGTGTATTCCTCATGTGCCTCAGGTACACTTCATACAAAAGGACAGAAAGAACGAAAAAGAAAAAGATGAGGTCCTCCTTCCTCATCTTCCTCCTCATCCCCCTCCTCTTAAGGTGGCTTACGCCTCTTATGTCTGAACTATGTCTAACACCTCCAAGTAGTGGAATGCCTCACGTCACGCTTCCGTGTTTTAAAACATTGCTTTTATTAATCTATTACAGGTCAGGAGATTCCCTAGATGGGAGTCTCAGCCATTGTGATGTGTCCAATACATACCATTGTTTGACCATTTCCTTCTCCAAGCCCCTAAACCAGGGAGGCACTCTTGCCATTTCTCCCTCCATTTGGCTTCTTTTGGGTCTCCATTGAATCTCATGAACTGCAGCTATCGTCTGACAGCCTTTAAAGCTTTTGATGTTCAAGACTAAATTCATTGTGCAAATGTTGGGTCTGTCTGTCTGAGAGTGAAAACATCAACGACATACTTGAGCACAAAATTGAACTGGTACTGTGTCTTAAGGATCTTGTTTCTTTTTTATCTTATTTTCTGTTCTTGAAGGAAATTAAGTGGTGCTTTCATTGTTGGCTTCGTGACTTGGGATGTCGTAACTAGTGATGATCAATGCAGGGTGCTTACTTTTATTTTTGTTTTCATCTTCTATGCCTTATGTAGAGTATTTTTAGGCCTGAACTTGCAGCCCATTGTTTCTTTGATTATAATCTTCATTTTTTCCTTCCCATATCTTTGGAGCATTCCACCTGTTTTTTACAAGTTCTTTCTCAGTATGAAAAAGGTGTGGTCAAGCTTCAAAATATCAATACGTATTGTATCGGTGGTCTCCCGATACGCCCCTGCAGTGGGTGTTTTGGGGTCTGACCTGGTTCAGGGGGTAGACGGGCCTTAAACCGACCCCTCTGAACCAGTTTGAATAAAAAAACCAAAAAAAGGAAAACCTCAATGCAGGCCGATACGCCCCAACCAGCATATCGGCCTGTATCAATATTTTGAACCATGGGTGTGGTGGTGGGTTTATTGTCCTTCAACCTCAAGACAAGGGCTCAAAGTTTTTTGTTACAGAGTTGGTTCTGTTGGGGAGTGCCATAGTTGTTACTTCTTAGAGACAAAGATGCTTCAATCAGTTATAATGGGTTTTCCCTAAATTTGCAGCTGGTGACATCAATGAAAAAAATGCAATTGGTCACCATGATTTATCTACCAGAAGTATGTCTGGAAATTATTTGTTTGAGGCTCATTTTGAGATTGTGATGCAGTTATTTACTGAGATCAGAGTCTCGACATGTTAGTGACACAATCTGAGCTAGTGGTCTCTCAGGTTGTCTGTTATGATCTTATTAATGTTTCCTGATTTCTCTTGCAGTCATGTAGAGTCTGCTATATAGATTTTAGTTATAAATTAATATTGTCTGGCAGTTGTTGATAAAGAGTAATGCATTGCTATTCTTAATGAGCAGTTTTTGATCTTAGTGATTTTTTGTTGATGTTCTTTGTAGAACACATTTTTGTTACAAAGATATTTTTTTTCATCTTTTTAATTTTTACATTTTTGTTATCATGGTGTTTTACAATGGAAGCATTTATGACTAATAGGTAATGCTGGCCATCTTCCGCAACTTGTACCTGATCAGGTCCGCAAGCTAAAGCAGCTTACTGTGCTTACACTTGCTGAGACAAATAAGGTATTCTTTATATATCTTGTTTACTACCTGTTCTTGATGGTTTTTACTCATTTTAAATATCAGCTTTTATGTTGTGAAATTTGTGGTGATTTGTTTGCTAGTACTTAGTGTTCTACACTCAGTCTATCATGGACACAGATACTAGAGATGTAACCTGATGTGTGTCAACAAATCTGACTGAGAAAGTTGAAAAAGCATGGACCGTGGAATTTGCATCAGTAAAGTATTTACCACACAAGAAGATACCTTGTAAATTCTAGCATCATATGCCTATGGAAAAGGGCAAAGTTAATCTTTGTTACCTAGGAATATTCTGTAGGAAAAGATGGAATTCCTTCTAAACAATATGTAGTAGTACCCCCAGGATCCATGGTGTGGTATTGTGGTCCCAATCTGCTCTCTGTTTTACACAGACACTCCTCCCATCTTGGACAATCCGTGCAAAACATGGTCGCTAGGTGCACTTTTCAAGTCTTGCAGACTGAGTAATGGAATTATTATTATTATTATTATTATTATTATTATTATTATCATTATTTGCATAGGTGACCATAACGATTTCTTAATTATAAGCAAATGTATACATGATGCACATCCAACCATTACAATACGTAGCTCCTGCTACTTTTCCCACATCACCTAATTTTCACCTTAGCCCATAACATCTGATTTCTGTCCACCCCTTGTCTTGATAATGCGTCAGCCAAAGAATTAGCTGATCTTTGTACCTATTGAATTTTAACTTGGAAGTTTCCAATCATCCATCTAAACTTTTTTTTTTTTTTTTTTTAATTTCATTCCTAAAGCTTCATATTGATCCCTCACCATTCAAAAACCACCCCATCACTAGCTTCGAATCACCTTCAATGATTAATTTGTTCTAATTATTAATCAAAAAATTAATTTGTTCCGATCGAGATCTTATTCTCATTGCACAGTGCACACCCTCCAACACTGCTAACATTTCTGTCCTTAAAGAGTTCCCTACTTTAATTGGGCCAGAGAACATAGTGACAGCATGATGCTCTTCATTCCTAAAAACACCTCCTACTCCTAAAGCCCCCCTCCCCATTCCCTCAATTCCCTATGTTTTTTTTTTGATGAAATGAATAAGTAGTTTTATTAAGGAGAACAAACAGCCCTGGAGGAGGCACGAGGTGCTACCTCCCCTTCAGGGTGTTTACAGATCCAAATCTTAACAAGAACAGAACAAAACCATAGATTAGCTCAATACAAAGAAGCCCGAGAAACCCCTTGTTTGGCCAAAGCAGTGTTTTAAAAGCACAAGGCGCAAAAAAGGCGTAGGGGTCAATTTGCGCTTGAGGCGCAAGGCAAGGCATACACCTTTTTAAGCAAGGCACAAAAATTAAAAAAATGCTAAAAAATCTAAAAAATCAAAATATGCCAAAAAATTCAAAAAAATGCAAAAAATAAAAAAATGATTAAACATAATATTAATAAAAATATAAACTTAAATTTTAAAATAAATGTTTTAAAAAACCTATTATCTAAAATAAAATACATAAACATAACATGTAAAGCATATTCAAATGAGAATTTAAAAATAAAACCAAACATATAAAACATTTTCAAGCATATAAAACCCACAATCTCTTTTCTTCTCAATTACATTACTTCAAGTAGCTAATGTGACATCTTATGTTTTTGATTCTACGAGCTGCTTTTGTGCAACGCCCTTCGAGGCAAGCCCAAACAAATCCACGTTAGGGTCTTAAATTCTTAATTTTCACACAAAAAATAATGATTTTATAGTTTTAATTGCTTTTTAAGAAGATATTTTATTAGGATGAATGAATGAACAACATTACCAAATAGGGGGTTCTCGAAGCTCTGGTTTGCCCGTGCACTATTTTTTGTGTGAAAACTAAGAATTTAAGACCCCAATGTGGACTTGTTTGGCTTGCCTCAAGGGGCGTGGCACAGGGGTCTGGGGGCGGAACCCCTGACCCAGCCACTAGACTCAAAAAAGCAAAAAAGTGTCAAATTTTCAAAAGGTTCGCGCCTGGGCTGAGGCGCAAGGCACACCAGGCATGCACTTTAGAAAGGGCTGCGCCTAGGACCTGGGTGAGGTGCCTACCCTAAAATGTGCCTCGCTTGTGTGCCTAGGCATGCCTTTTAAATCACTGGGCCAAAGAGTTTGCCAAAGCATTTGCTGATCTACGAATCCACTGGAAATTGATTGACATATTCCTTGTGGCCCATTTTACTTTTTTCAGGAGATCTCTGTAGCCCCAAACAGCATTAATTGGATTCAGCAGTCAGCCCACTACTAGCTTGGAGTCACCTTCTACCAATAGGTTCTGCACCCCAAGTTGGTTAGCAATTTGTAGGCCTTGTACAGCTGCAAGTATTCCCTTGTTGCTAATATGGAAAGTACTAATTCTAAGGGGAGTTGGTGGGCACCGGATCTCTTTCACTGGAAAAGGCTGCAAGGAGGAAAGGGGAGAAGATAAGACTCTAAAGTAAGATGCATAAGAGAATGGACCCAAGGGAAGTAATGGAGTTTTCTTTTTCTTTTTCAAGAGAAAATAACTAATAACCATTATATTTTTTGTATTTTGGGCAAATTAATAGTTGGTGCTTGACTATCCATCCAAAAAAATCTGTTGCTTTTCTCACCCTAAATAAGGTGGCCTGGGAAGATAATTTCACTTTACAAGTTTCTGATAATTTTTGGAGCATGTACATCTGCCTTTTGTGTGCTTCCAAAAGCTTCTTTATCTAGTTCTTGAAAAATTCTTATAATGTTTTATCCTAATGATCCCCCATCATTGAATCTGGTTATGCTAAACTTAGATGGATTTGGGGAACCCAAGCAGCATTGTTCTTAGAGATAGTTTTGGTGCTGTACTGGTATTGTTTTCAAGACCCATTGGTGTGGGGGAGTCTACAAGAGCTGAGTTGCAGGCTGTTTTATATGGACTGAGAATGGGAAGAAGACATTTATCAAAAAAAAAAAAAAAGAGGACGGGAAGAAGACTGAATATAAGAAATATAGTGGTGGAGTGAGCTACATTCCTTTGGGTGAAAAGGTCTGCAAATGGAATGACAGACACTTTAGCTAAGAAAGGAGTTCGTAGAGAACAATTTTTCTGGGCAAAACTGTAATGGGGGCTGGTATTATGTGAGAGGGCAAAACTGTAATTAAGGAGAGTAATATGAGGATGGGACCGATGGGTTGCTGGTTGTTACCAGCTTTATTATGTATTTCTTATCTTAATTAATGAAAGTAACTTCTGTTTGCTGATTAAAAATAATAAGGGGAGGGTTGTCTCAATAATGTGGTTTCATAGATCAGCAAATTGCATAGCTGATTCATTTGTCAAGCAAGGGGCAAACAGGGAACAATTGCACTAGGGGGTAACAAATGAATGATAGTTGGAAGATGTAATGTAAAGAAAAAGTGGTTAGGTGGTGATTTTGTCTTTATCAATAAGGAATATTGTTAGCAATCAAGAAAAATATTTTTACCCTAGTGATTTTGTCTTGCCCAGGTACTCCCCTATGATCAACTGATGCAAGAACTAGATGTTTCAAATGTACGTGGACTTGAAGACTTTCTCATCAACGAATGCATGTATGCGGTAGGTTCCTGTACAACTTGAGGACTTCCTTATCAAGTTGATTTTGTCTCAGAAAGGTGACTTTTTTCTCCTTTTTATGCTTTATATGTTGTGTAGAAAGGGAGTATCACATAATGATCAAAAGTGGGCCCATTATGTCTCCCTTTCCATCTCTATTTCTTCTTGTCCTTGTTTTCCTCTGCCTTCTCCCCCTGCAGTTCCATTCATGTTGCAGTAAACATGGTTACAGTTTTGGACTTTTGATCCTTGATCCATTTATTTGAAGAAAAGGAATAAAAGACTTTATGTAGTTTATGGTCTACAGTATAATCTTCATGTGTCTTTTTTTGGGGGGTGGGGGGTGAGTTGAAAACCCAATCATGAATAATGAGAGCATCTTCTTTTCTTTTCTTTTTTTTTTGTGGGTTGAAAATTGAATCATCAAATTTAACTGTCTACTTCATGAAAAAAAATGCTACAATTCCTTAAACTTTGAATTGGTGCATAATTTGTTTTCTGTTCTGTTTGTAAACATCAGATCATAGGTGCATGGATGTTAGATATAAAATCTGATGATCCTGGAGGTCCTCTCTGTTTAGTTGAAACCACTTGATCTTTTTGATCAATGAAACCACTTCATCTTTTCCTTTTGTGAGGTGGCAGTATAGGCCAGTCAATTGATCCATGGTTGTTCTATTGTATATTTGTATATGATTTCTGCTATTGTCTTTTATATTCAATATTGTTGCTTTTTATGGAAAGATTTCAATTTTATCTCCCCCCAAAAAGTGGCAATCTAGGAAGCAAGTTGTCCTGTAACTTCTAGTGGGGCTACATAAGTAATTGCCCAAAGGAAGTAATTTACTAGCATTCTTAGGGTATTGAACATTGTTTTTTATTTTTCCTTTTAACTTTTTCTAATGCTTGATATTCAACAGATTCCTTTTGAGAATTTCCATTTAAGAATTAAATATAATTTTTTGTTTTGAAAATATTAAAATATAACCAGGGCAAAACATAATTTTTTTCTGGGTTTTATTGCAGGGCATAGTTAGAGGAAAGCTGGACCAGTTGCGTAGATGCTTTGAGGTTGGATCTTACTGCCCTGTCCTTGCTTTTAAATTGGAATTTTCAATTTCAATGCATGAAAAGGCTCTCCTAATCAATCTTTGTTCTATTATTTGTGGGAATGCAGGTCCAGTTTGCTGCTGGAAGGGATTTGAGACCTGGACAGCTTGGGAATATGATACAGACAATAGCAAACTGGTACTCGTAATTATGATTTTATTTTTTCAGATATGTCTGAACAYGAGTTCAATAAGATATTCATATATTAATCTTTACATTTGCTTGTCCAGTGACAATACTTATCTAGTAGATGTCCCTATCCTGTGTACAGTATTTGGTAATGTCTCATGACACCATTAGGGTTCTTCCTCCCCATTCAGAAGATAAAATAAAATAGAACAGATGTACTTATGCGTGCCTTTTACTATCTTATAACTCTTAACTACATAAATATGTGCCTTCTACATTTACTACTAGTTGGCGTTTCTTATGAAAATGTTCATTTTTTAACATTTCTTTTGATTTATGAATAAATACATTGTTAGGTAGTTCGAGAGACCTAGGTTTGAATCAGATGTGTACTGTTCACACGCCAAGAAAGGATTTTTGTATTAATCTTTGCGCTCTTCACATAAAGATACATATGATACAAGAACTGGTGCTGAGAGACACGCATAAGTTTGTCACTAAGAAATAGATGCACGTGTCAGAGCCTTGGTAAATAAGTTTGGCAACTGAAATACAAAAGATACATGTGGAAGAGTAATGTGTCCAATAAGAAATTGTTCCCGAATAAAATGGCAATTGACCTCAATATGCTTGGTGCATTCATGAAACACTAGACTAGATGCAATCTTGATTGCACTAATATTATCCACACATAGAGGAATGAGGTAGAGAAGGCAAAACCCAAATCATTCAATCATAGTTTTCAAGGCGCCAAGGCGAGGCTGGGCGTAGTAGTAGTAGTAGTAGGGCATGAAACCACACTTAGGCGTCGCACGTCGCCTTGACAATAGTAGTCGCTCAAGATTGAATAGACACTCAAAAGGAGAAGAAAAAAATAAGAAAAGAGGGAGAGAGATAGATAGAGAGAGAGAGATTTTGATAAAAGAGAGTTGAGTTGATGTGTTTAAACAGCCGCCCCCCTCTTAAATTTATATACATAGTTTCATACTCGTAAAAGCTGAAAAAAGACTTATCCTAATCTTATCATAAAGAACTAATCCTAATCATAACTTATTGCTGACATACGAACAGTGGGGACCACCTTAGTGGGGTCCACATTAGTGTTCTCTACACTCCCCCTCAAGTTGGGAATAGATGTTTGTCATTCCCAACTTGCATAGATCTGCTTCTAACTTCTTCCTTGAAACCGCCTTGGTGAGAAGGTCTGCCAGTTGCATGTCGGAGGTGATGTATGGAAGACATATTTCTTGAGATGTAACCCTTTCTCTGATAAAATGTCGATCCATTTCAATATGCTTAGTTTTTTCATGTTATACCGGATTATGGGCTATATTGATGGCAACTTGATTATCACAGTACAACATCAAGGGTTTCTCATAAACAATACCTAACTCCTCAAATAATGATCTCAACCATAGGATCTTAGCTACACCATTTGCCATGGACCTATATTCAGCTTCAGCACTGGAACGGGAAACAACATTTTGTTTCTTACTCCTCCAAGAGACAAGGTTACCTCCTACAAAAGCACAATATCCAGAGGTAGATCTTCGATCATCAATACACCCATCCCAATCAGCATCTGTGAAAACTTCTATCTTCATGTGATCATTATTCTTGAATAAAATGCCTCTGCCTAAGCACCTCTTCAAATATGCTAGTATCCTCTCAACTGCAAAGAGGTGAATAGTCCTAGGAGAGTGCATATACTGACTAACCACACTGACTGCATAACTGATGTCGGGTCGAGTGAGACAAAGATAGAGAAGTTTTCCAACTAACCGTTGGAACATAGCTTTATCTTCAAGGGGTTCTCCACCCTCTGCACTGATCATGTGATTTTGTTCAATGGGTGTGTCAGCAGGCTTAATACCCAACTTTCCTGTTTCTTCCAACAAGTCAAGAACATACTTTCTTTGAGAAACAAAAATCCCATGCTTGGATCTTGCTATCTCAATGCCCAAGAAGTATCGTAGTTCTCCCACATCTTTTACCTCAAACTCTTGATGAAGGAGTTGCTTAAGGGACTCAATCTAAGTATTATCATTTTTTGTTACTACAATATCATCCACATATACAACAAGCAAGGTTAAGGAAAAATCCACTCTCTTAATAAACAAGGTGTGGTCTGACTAGGCCTGTACGTATCCGAACCTTTCAAGGGCTTGTCTAAATCTATCAAACCAAGCTCTGGGGGACTGTTTTAGTCCATACAAGGCTTTATTCAACCAACAAACCTTCTTTCTTGTTTCTGTACCATAAAATCCAGGAGGCAACTACATGTAAACCTCTTCTTGCAAGTTTCCGTTGAGGAAGGCATTTTTTTTTTGATGAATAGAAGGCATTTTTAACATCCATCTGATACAACGGCCAAGAGTAACTGACTGCAAGAGATAATAAGACTCTGGTAGTGGTCATCTTTTCTACTGGTGCAAAAGTTTCCAAGTAGTCAATACCATATGTCTGAGTAAATCCTTTTGCAACTAACCGGGCCTTATACCTTTTAATAGAACCATCAGCATTATGTTTCACAGTGAATACCCATCTACATCCAACCGGTTTCTTACCTTTAGGTTGATCAACTATCTCCCAAGTATTGTTTCTGATGAGGGCATCCATTTCTGCTTTTATTGCATCATTCCATTCTGGTACTTCCAATGCTTTCTGTATTGTTCTGGGAATGGGAACATCGGCAATGGATGTGAGAAAAGACTTATAGGAGGGCAACAAATGATCGTAGGACAAGAACTGAGAAACACTGTGAGCTGTGGATGTGGTGTAACGACGCTTGCCCTTACGAATTGCTATGGGAAGATCAAGATCATCTAATGAAGGTGAAGGCTCCTTTGTGGGATGTCTTTCATCTGTAGTATCTGTGGTACCTGGATCTGGCTCTGTAGAAGGAACTAGGGCTACTGTGGTACCGGGATCTGGATCTGCAGAGGAGACTGGGACTGGCCTGCACTGTTGATGTCCAAAATCAACCTGTCTCCATCGTCTGTGATAGACTCTCACATCCCTGCATCTCTGACAGCCCTCCCCATTACACTCCTCTTCACTTAATGTAAAGGGACTTCTGACGAGTTAACCCCATCCTTACTACTCTTCCTCTGAGGAGAAACCCTTGGATAATAGGGTACATCTTCAAAGAAAGTGACATCCATTGAGACAAATCTTTTCCCAGAAGTAGGTTCATAGCAGCAATATCCTTTTTGAGTTTGTGCATAACCAAGGAAAATACATTTTGAGGCCTTAGGGTCAAACTTGGAACGATGAGGGCCAAGAATCTGAACAAAGCATGTACAACAAAAGGTTTTAAGGGGAATGGTAAACAACTCTTTATCAGGATTGTAGAGAAGATGGGCCGAATGGCCCATAGGCTGTTTATTCTTTCTTGTTATTTATGTTTTTCTGTAATGGGCCTTATTCTGGACCCATTCTGTCTATATTAAGTTCTTTGTAATTTCTTGCCCAACTAAGGGCCTCCTTGTAATTATTCAAATCTATCTTAATAAAATAGTGTTAGGGTGCTGAGAGAGAGTAGGTTCGAAACTCTCATTCTCAAACCCTCATTGCCGAACTCTCAAGCTCTCCTCTCTTTAGTTTTCTTCAAGGATATAAGAGGGTAAATGGAGATTTCATGTCAAGAACCCGTGAAGGAGTCCTATTGATGAGATACACTGTTGTAAGAACAACATCCCCCTAGAAACGTATAGGCACATTGGAGGTAAACATAATGCTTCTGGCTACCTCCAATATGTGTTTATTCTCTCTCAGCAACCCCATTTTGCTGTGGTGTACGAGGATAGGTACTTTGATGGATAATCCCATGTTCAAGCAAATAGGAGGCTAATGGGTTTGCAAAATATTCTTTTACATTATCAGATCTAAAAATTTTGATTTTGACCCTAAATTGGGTTAAAATCATCTGATGAAAGATTCGGGTTAAAGCTGAAACATCATCTCGAGAACGTACGAGATAAATCCACGAAAAACGAGTATAATCATCAACAAACAGTAGGAAATATCTATACCCCCCCATGGCAGTGGTATGGTAAGGTCCCCAAACATCAGTATGCACAATTTCAAAGGGAATATTACTTCTATTATTACTTAATGAATAAGTTGTCCTGCAGTGTTTTGCAAGTTCACAACTCTCACATTTCAAACTATACATCTGGATAGATTCAAATAAACTAGGAAACAAACTCTTCAAAGCCCGAAAAGATAAATGACCCATCCTATTATGCCAAAGCATAGCCTGATCAACTGACTGAGAAACACAAGACCTCTTAGTCTCACTATCTTTCCAATGAGGACTCCCTCTAAGCAAAAAAACTCCATTTGCCTCACGACCAGTCCCAATCACCTTTCTTGTCTCCAGATCCTGAAAACCACATCGATCCGGAAAAAATGTTACTAAACAATTCTGGTTTTTTGTAATGCTAAGCTTAGGAACATGCAAAACCGAAGATAAGGAAATAGCATTAGACAACTTGATGTCTCCCTTGCCAAAAATAGGAACGAGGGAGCCATCAACAATGAACACTTTGTCTCTGGCTGAAGATAAATGATAGGTAGTAAATAGTGACGACAAACCAGTCATATGGTCAGATGCTCCAGAATCTATTATCCATGAATGTTCTGTATTACCTATGACTGAGGCATGGTGAGTTGAGGCTCGATTACCTGAATGAGCAAAAGTTGAGGTAGGGGGTCCTGATGGTGTCTGTGGAGGTGGAGCTGAATTACCAACTTCATTTTCCAGCTGAACTAGAGCAGCTCGGACAACAACTAGAGTATCTAGAGGATTGCCTCTTGTGCTAGATGAGGTTGTACTATCAATGTTAACAACCATATTTGCATTCCCCTTTTTGTTTCTGAGTTTTGTTGGAACTAGATGTGGATGTAACTTCCAACAGGTCTCTTTAGTATGTTTAGGTTTCTTGCAATGCTCACATACTAGGTCCTTCTTAGCTTCCTTCTTCATGTCTCTTTCCTTATCACTC